TGCTCAGCTCAGCCTGGGACCTGCCCAGGATGGCTATTTATGGCTCAGGGAGGCGTCCAGTGAAGCTCCCCTCATAAATTATGAAGGGAGACACATGTGGGTCAGGACGGGGGAACTCAGGGCATGAGGGAACCCCAGCAATCTCTCTCTCTAATCAGGGAGTTTCCTTCTGTTCCTAAGGCAACAGCTGAGGCAGACAGCAGAACTGTCAGTCTCACGAGGGGTTCTGAGGTCCCCTCAGGTCCTGCTGTTGGGCTCCTAGCCCTGACTGCTGACAGCTCTCTGCCTCATCCCCCTAAATGGGGGCTGTCTGCTGTTTCGTGTGCCCTGTGCCCACACAAGCAGGGCTTGAGCAGTGCTGGGTGTTTTGTGACCTCCACATTCTCTCTCTATTCAGACTCTGGGAACCCCCAGCTGTTTCCTGAGCATGGTTGTTCCCCTCCTGGGGGTATCAGAAACTGTGGGTCATGTGGAGGTGCTCCTTGGCACCTGCTTTTGAGTTTGTGGTGTGTTTTTAATACTTCAGTTTCCTGGTCATGGTTAGTCTTTTGTTTAATCCTGTACACCCCTAACTTCCTCTGACAATTCACTCCTCCCCCTGGCTTGCTCATCTCAGGTCTCTAATCTGGCCACTGGGTTGTTAGTTTTGGGGTGTCTGGACCTGACGGAAAGTAAGAAGTTGAGAGTTTTCTTCTGTGAATGAAACGTGCCAGTCTTCATGTGGTCTTTAAGCTTCAAATTAAATGGATTTTTGTTTGTTTGAGACAGAGGTTTGCTATGTAGCCCAGGCTAGCCTCCACCCCAAGATTCCATGTGGCCTTTGCTTGTTTGTTTACTGTCAGGCTGCTGAGGATGGAGGCCATCAGGATGTCAGGCTGGAGTTGGATTGCTCCAGGTTTTTTGGGGTTGTTTTTTTTTTGTTCGTATGCAGAGCCATGGAGGCTTACATCTCAGGAACTTCAGGAGCCCAGATGCTTACTGTCTCCCTGGAACAGGTGGGATCATGAAATGAAGAGGGCCAGGGAGGAGTGCAGGAAGCGAGGCAGCTCAGGACTGGAGCCCACTGCTGACAGGGTGTCTGGCTTCCAATTACACTGCCTCAGAGCTGGGCACAAAATTAGCAGCAACATTCTCCGTAAAAGGAGCCAGAGAAATAGCTTCATTCAGCAGAACCCCAGGCAGGGGCAGAAGACAGAGGAAGAAAGGGGTCTGGCCTCCCGCACTGTAGACACAAGTTCCAGACTCCTCCTAGGACACTCCTGGTCTCTGCTGCCCAGGTGGCTCCCAGGCTGAGTCAGGAACACAGGATGATCCCTTGTGGGGAGAGAGGGCTGAGGGTGAGAAGGTGAAAACTCAGAAAACCTGGAGAAGGTGGCCTAGAGAGCACAACACACACACACACACACACACACACACACACACACACACACAC